ATTAGACAAATGGAAGAGGTGGTGGAAATGAATGAATAAAGGGTTTCTCTACACTTTAACTCTTTTTAGCACATATTATAAGCATCATTTCCCATTTTGCCCTTGCCCTTCCTTAGAAATTCCATCTATATCCTTTGATTCTTTACAACTACACCCCTATCCAAACACAATCTCTACTAAATTTTCTTACATTTTACTCCCCACTTTTCCTACTAATTAGGGGTAGAATGGTCATTGTGCCCCAAAAGAAGAATTCTCTAGAAAACTCAAGAAACTTTTTATTAGGCTTGTCACCACGGCGAAGCACTTTCCGTTGCCCTGGCGAAACAGGGCAGAACCTACCCGCGAGTGCAGCTCCTCCTCGCCACGGTGAAGCTTCTTCTTCGCCCCGGCGAAGATTGGATTTCCAAACTTCACCAAAACTTAACCAATTTCAAGGCAACCATTCAACCAACTCAATTGTAACTGAAACAGTAAACTTTTAACTAATACAGCAAATCTTAAATACGTACCTCAAGTGGGATATTAAATAGACCTAATTTACATTATGGAGTAATAGAAATAGGGTGTATAAATGGAATGTTGATATTACCCATGCTAGAATCCAGCCATGACTATTGATAATAAACAAGTCTCAATCCAGAAACTTAAACTGTGAAATCTAAAGAAAAATTCGAATAATGCATTGAATGGTCTCTAAAATGAAAAATAAGTTTATATAGGGAGACAATCAATCTAATAAGACTCTTAATAACAAAAGGAAACAAAAATTAAATCAATTAAAACAAGAAAATCTGAAATAAAATAGGAAAAAACATGCAAATAACTAAAACAGTCCTGAAACATACCAAAACGGTGGATTTTGCCACGTCGATGGGCTCGAAATAAGCTTTTCAACGGTATTTTATAGGCCCCGTAACTCTTCCCGGATCAAAAGTTATGGCCATTTGAATGAGGCATACTCATTTAAGTCCTTTGGACTTTACGCATGGACTCTGACATTCACCCTTCTCCATGAATTCATTAGCTAGACATTCTATGTCATAAAAAAAATAAAAATGAAGATGTTCAATTACTGGGTTGAACCAGAGGTTCGTAACAAAAAATTCGGTCCAACCGCGGTTCAAATTGGGTCATTTAATATTTTCAGTTTTTTAGTCGAACCGTCTCCACTTGATCACCGGTTCTTGATTCATCCGGTTGAACCGACCAACCGGTCAGGGCCGTGTTTTTAAAACCTTGACAATTGCAACTAGATTTCGATGGATGTGTCCAATTGAAAGGACTTTAAGAACTTATAAATCTTATGTAAAGAATTATGGATCGTATTTATTATTGTCATCCAAATTTAATTTGTATAGTTGTGATAATATACTTGAGATCACCGGAGCGCCTTGTGCACCGATTGGTGTAGTTTGACACTAGCCTAATGCAGTTCTTTTCATAGCTGTCAATACGGTGGTGATTGGCTGCATCAAGCAAGACTATGGTGGATAGACAGAGGATTCATCACTCCCGGGTATAGGAGAACTTATCTCACAGCGCAATTCAGTATATGACAATGACACTAAAACTGTGGCCACAGTGGGATTGAGTTGTTGCTCTATCCGGATTATAATATAGGTCATTGGTCCAGAAACTGAATACATAATATCGAGAGTAACCTAAGGTTGACACTATTTCTATGCCTTCGTCCCATCGAGTTGGCGTATGATGAAAGGATCGAATTGCATGGTAACCATATCATTGACAGGCAGCTACTTTGCTGAATCTGAATCTATCGGGTGGCCATGATTCCTTGCTAGGGGCCAATCTTGGTCTGTGTATTAGTGAGACGATTAATTGGTGTTAATCGCGATACTATACATTGTCGGTATGATGAGGAGCCTATAGGTCACACACACAGAAGATAATTTAAGAGCCCGGAAGAAAGAAGGGCATTTTTGTCTTTTTGGGCAAAAGGGTATTTTGGTATTTCACAGTGCAATTAAATTTGCTGAGGTCGTAGACTTTATTTAATTTCTTAGAAAAATTAAATAAGTGAAATTATGTTTAAATATGTGTTCGCATATATTTAAATATATTATCATTATTGTTAAATGTTAATATATATTAATTGATTTTAATTGAGATAATGATGGAAAATAATAATATCTAATTGGGAGTGTTTGGTAACATGGGGTGTTTGGGTTGGAGCCCAAGCCTATTCCATACGGGAATAGGGCAACTTAAATTGGACTATAAAAGAAAAAGTGTTAATTGAAAAGTTAGTGAATTCATTTTATTCATTGATTACTTTTTCATTTGAGAGAAAAACTCTCTAGCCCCTAAACACTCTCCCACGCCACTTTTAGTTTTGATTGAAAAATCAAATACTTCTCATTTTCTTCTTTGTTCTTAAGGCTAAGGAGGATCTAGCAAATCCCTCCTTAGTTCCTTGCGATTGTCTTCATGTGGACTACGTCGGTTCGATCCTACACTTGGATCGGTAGCAAAAACGTTCCGAGACAAAATTGGAGGAGCCTCCAACGTGGGTATGATTCCTTAAACCTTGAAAAGATTTTTCTGCACATTTAATACATATATTGTATAAACTGTGATTTTTATACCCGGATCTTGGTTCTAAGGAATGATCCATGTTGTTTATGTTTTTGTTTTCCGCTGCGTAAATGGGTCGTTTACTAACAGCAATTTACCCTGAAGCACCTCGGGTCCTTGCAACATTTTCTTAACTTTGAAGTCCAAAGGAGTAACTCCACCTTGCTACTTACTCAGTCCACGTATGCTCAGGATTTGTTAATTAAAGCTGGCATGTAATACCCCTATGGCCATAGGAGTTAAACTAGGCAAAGAAGATAGTGCTTTCTTTGAAGAACCTTCTCTCTATAGAAGTATTGTAGGAGGCAAGCAATATCTTACACATTCCAGGCCCGATTTAGCCTTCTCTGTCAATTGGTTGAGTCAGTTTCTTCATGCTTCTACCACTGCCCACTAGACTGCCTACAAAAAAGTCCTGCGGTACATCAAGGGCACCCTGCAACATGGACTTCGGTTCAAGAAAGGATTAGATTTTATACTTGAAGGATATGCAGATGCTAATTGGGCTAGTGATGTAAGTGATAGACGATCTACAAGTAGCTACAGCATCTTCCTTCGGGGTAATTTAGTGCAATGGAGCTCTAGAAAACAAAAGGTGGTTTCATTATCCTCAATTGAAGCTGAATATAGAGCCCTTTGTCAAGTAGCCACTGAATTGGTTTGGATTCAACATTTATTTCAAAAGCTTGGTATAAACATTAACATAGCCCCGATTTTGTGGTGTGATAATATGACTACTGGAGCTCTCTCATCCAACCTTGTGTTCCATGCTAGAACAAAGCACAATGAAACAGATGTGCATTATGTGAGAGAGTTAGCAGTTGAGAAGAGATTAGTAGTTCAATATGTTGGCACAGAGTATCAAGTTGTAGATATTCTGACCAAGGCATTGCCTGGGAACAAATTTCAGTGTCTAAGAGCGAAGTTAAATGTTGCCTTTGGTTCTAATTTTGAGGTGGATATCAGTGTTATTCTGATCAATGAAAAAACTAAAGTTGATCAGGAAGATCCTAAAGTAGAATAAACTTGTAGTTCGTCTGCTAGGGTTTTGGAATTATAATTGCTTGCTGTTGATAATTGTTGTTGCTAGTTTCGAGTTGGTGAATTTGTAAGTTGAGGTGTTAAGAGAATGGCTGAGGTTGGACACCAAGTGTGCTGCTAAGATTAGAATGATCAGGATGCAAATAGTGGAGATATTGAGTCTAGTTTACAGGTGGATGTTGGCTTACAAGTCTTGTATATAGGTTAATTTAAGGGAGCATATTAGGACAGTGTATTGGTAATTTGTTACATAGTCCAGTTTAAGGGAGAGTATTAGTATAATGGGGTGTGTTTGTAATCATTTAAGAGTATGTGTTTGTTACTCATATGGGGTGTCTTTTGTAAAGTCTAAAACTAGAAGGTTTAAACCAACGGCTTTGTATAAATTAGCCGGCTTCTTGTAACAGATTCAGTCATGAAATACAGTCACTTTTCAGCTCGTTTCTACTCTTCTTCTGTTGCTCTTAAAGTCATTCAAAAAACAAAAAAAATGTTTGTTAGAAGAATAAAAAATACATGTTTGTTACAAGTCTAATAATCGGTGAGTCAACTTTATTGTGCTGCTGGTTCTCTAGAGGACTCGTTCATGGCTGCTATCTCTCTTGCCAAAGTCTGTCAATGACAATAACGTCTCTTGACAATGACGTCTCTCTTTCCATTATGTTAACAAAGATGTCTATGATTAAAATTATAAATATTTATTTATCTAATTATAAAATGTTTAAGAGCGCGTGGTAGTTGGTAAGGAAGAAATTATTCCAGTCTAGCCCTTGAACTTCTCAAACGTATTTGAGAAATAATCTTAGAAGGAAACCTAATCCGAATGACTTGGAGATTGCAAACCTAATCCGAAGACCTTCACAGTTGTTTATACGACGCAGCTAAGTGGGAAACTTCGAATTCATGACATAGTTCATTTGCCAAATATAAAAAAATTAAACATCGATGTGTACTGATGTGTTTTCTGACTGGAAAAAGGGACAAGCCTAAAAATACAGCGATATATTTTCTTGAAACCCAGTATCAAAAATAAAAATGAAAAATTTGAATTAAAATAATAATTTTTTTACGCTACTCACCTTTTTACAATTATTTAATTTTAAATATCTTATAGAAAGTATATTATGCGTAATTGTAATGAAAACTTAAATCTTATTAGTGTATAATTTGATGTTAATTAAAAGTACCAAGTGCTTATTGAAGTTTTAAATGACAAAATGTAAACAATACGGGGCTTGTGGTATTATTATAAAGCGCAAAAGAGCAGACTTGACTCTGAAAAGTCGTTGTTCCAGACTTCCAGTGTTAATAAGGGACAAAAATATGCCTTGCAGGTCAGACATTTTTCTCATCTTCTCTTCTACCATATAATCCCTAAAGTTTCAGCTCTTGCTCATTCTTCATTGTAGACTTCCTTGCTGGATCTGTTCTCATTGCTTGTTTGGGTTGAGAAACTTTCTGCCATCTTAATTTGTGTTTTGAGTTCATTAATTTTCTTGGATTTGCTTAGTAAGTATATCTTTGCCTAGATTGTTTTACATTTTTTATTTTGTTGAAATTTGGTTTTGGTTTTTCTTGATTTGAACGTTATGTTGGTATTCTTGAGTAAATTTTACATCGCTTTGTTGAAGTTGAAAGTGGAGACAAAAATGAATGGATTTAATGCAATCCAATACTTAGAATTAGTTTGATGCAAATGGATTTATGTTATATCTGTCATTAATATATTCTTTGTTTGTTTCTTTTGTATGGTATATTGTTCTTGATAAAGTTATTTTCCCACATGATTAAATGGTAGGATACAAGACTGTTCCTACGCGCCCCAAACATGTTACTGACAACATATTGTTCTTCGTAAAGTTGTTTTTCCTACCTCTTATTTATTATTATTATCGTTTTCGTATTCCCTACAAGATTATATGGTAAGATATATAGTTTTTCCTACCGTCATAACACATTACCGATGATATATATATTTGTATTTTGCTAACTGGAGGTGTTCGGTTCAGTTTGTACGCATCTCAACTAATCCTCCGGAACTTTGAAATTAACAATCGGGTAAATTTCCTCAATAGCCATTTCTATTAGGACTTAGGGGGATTTGAACTCAAGAGCTCATGTTGGATCCCTTTGCTCTTTTGCCATTACGTTATCTAGTGGTAGTTTACCAATGACATATTGCCATTGGAAAAACTATAACCCAAAATGGCTTATTGGAAAAGAATTTTTTTTTTTTCTTTTTACCTCTTCTTTTGTGGCTGGATTGCAAGCGGAGATTAGCTATACCTAGGAGCCTTATGTTCGAGTTGCGGGGAAAGCAATTATCTGGTTTACCCAATTTTTTTTTTTCTGGTTCCAACAAATTCAACAGAGTTTGAAAAACAAATTCCATACGAATGATTCATTTTTCGTGAAATTTGCTCATTTCCGATGGAAATTTGCCTAGGAAACGAACATTTTTGTTGCAATGTTCTTATTACGAGTTTTATAAGTGTTTATTGTACATGTATAAGGTTTGTTTATACCGAGTGTTATGCTTTTTTTACTGAAAAATGATGGTTTTCACAAGTTTATTACATTGCTTATCAGAAGTACTCTTATGTTCATTATTGTATGACTACTATTGTTGTTTATACCAAGTGTCATATTCCTTGAAATTATTAGTTATGTTGCTACAAGTACTTTTAAATTTGCTAGCAGTCTATCAGATTTGCCTTTTCAAGTCTTATTTGAACGAATTGTTTATTGTGAGTCTTATATTTTCCTCAGGATAATTGAGCAAGAAAAAACGAAACAGAGAAAGAGTGATGGCTGATCAGTGGAAGGAGCTTAGTGGTGAGAGGAACTGGGAGGGTCTCTTGAAACCTCTCAACGGTGATCTCCAAAAGCGTATAGAACTCTATGGTGAAAGAATTCAAGCTATTTGTGACTCCATGACGGATGATAAAAGACATCCTACCCATGAAAAGGAAGATTTATTTTCTAAAGTCATCATGAAAACAGACAAATTTGGCAAGCTATATACTGTGACCGACTATATATATGCTATGTCAGATGTTCCTTCCTGGATCGATTGGATTGTTAAGGACCAATCTGCTTGGATTGGTTATGTGGCCGTGGCAACAGATAAAGGAAAGGAAGTATTAGGAAGAAGAGACATTTTGATTTGCTGGAGAGGAACTTATTCTAAGGCCGAGTGGATAAAAGATTTTGAGTTCTTTCGGACCCAAGCGTCAAACATTCTTGGGGAAACCCATAACCCACTTGTGCACGGAGGATTTCTCTCCCTTTACACGTCGAAAACTAATGAACCCGAGTACAATAATTTGAGTGCCAGAGATCAGGTAAGCTTTTATCTACGAGTATGGATGGTGTATGAATTCAAATATTGAAAAGTAAATAACAATACCTTTTAATATAGTTAAAACAACACCCAAAAAAGAAACCATTTCCTCCGTCACCAAATAGCAAGGTAACTATCACTTTGACTGATTTGTCCCATACATAATTGTCATTAACTTGCATATATCCATATAAGTTAACAAATATTCCAAATTGACAAAATTTCTGACTATTGACTTCAACTTTTTGATTTGTTATGGCCAGGTTAATAAATCGTAATTTTTTATTTTTCCTGCAAAATCGGTTACCTAATCTGATATATGCTTTGATTGTCGCGATATATATAGGTGCTGAATGCAGTGAACAGATTGCTGAATATGCCTGACTATAGAGATGAGGAAATTAGTATAACAGTAACAGGCCACAGCTTGGGTGCAGCACTTGCAACATTGAACGCAACTGATATGGTTTTCAATAAGCATAATGAGTGCACAGGGTCAGACAAAATATGCATGGTCACGGCCTTTGTGCTTGCAAGCCCCAAGGTTGGTGACAAGGGATTCAAGAACGTCTTCAATGGACTCAACAATCTGCATCTCTTGAATATTAGACATAAAAGTGACATTGTTACAAGAGTTCCTCCCTATCCCTACAGAAAAGTGGGAACAAAGTTAAGAATTGGGAGTTACAAGGCAGGATTACGGAAACTTATTAAGGATGGAATACCAAAACTTAAGAACAGGCATCAATTTCAAAGTTTGCCGCAACATTTATTTGATAAATGGTTTCAATTTCATAGTTTGCAGGAATATCTCGATGAAGTCGCAGGACGGCGCAAAAAATACTTGGCTGGTAATATCTCCTAAATGCAATGGGCGTTTGGAGATTTATTTCCCTCCTGAAGGATTGGTTACATCCTCCCAACACCTAATAATTAATTAGTTGAGGAGTCAACATTGAGGTTTCTTTTACTGTTTAATTAAAGCTTTATTTTCTTGATCATCAATAAAATCTAATATCTCAAATTTATGATTCTGATGATAAAAAATACATATATAAATCTTTACATTATGATATTTGTCTTCTTAAACCTTTCTTTATTCAAATGGAGAAGATCTTCTCATTTGGATTCTCTCACTTACACACAAGTTAGCAAACAAGCAAAACCAACAAGTTACTCAAATTTTGTCTTCTCAAACTCAAGTTGGTGTATATATATATACTGGTGATAGGTTCAGCCATAATTAATTAGTTATATTGTGACTTGTTTTAAGAAGTTTATAAAGGTTCTTTATTATTTCATGACCATAATAAAATTACATAAAAAGATTCAAAGATAGTGAAGTACACTTAAAACAGCTTATTTCATTACCTATAAACTTCTTTTGAATTACATCACCGAATAACCTGAAAAAGAATGAAATGAATTTTAATTTTTTTTTTCTCAATGGACGAAACTAGCCAGATGATTTTCTATAGTCCTAAGGATTCTTAACTAAATGAAATAAAGAATTCCTTTAGACACACCTAAATAAGAATATGTGAGGGACTAAGTTCATAAAGAATCTCAGGTAGGATAGGAAGACTTATTTAGATGGAAATAAAGGAATGTATGCCTTGAACGATGATGCATGCAAAAGCAACAGTCAATTTAACCTTAATTTCTATGAAGACGTCTTTCTTTAGCATAGAGCAAGCAAAGGTCTTCCCTGAAGAAGATTTTTCTAACTAACTAATTATCCACTTAATAAATGGGGTTTTCGATTGGTGATGTAGAAAATAAAAACAATCAATTAAAAGCAAGCAAGTAAAATATAAGACTGAATTAAGATGAGACATCTAGATTGAAGGATTACTCGCCACTACTAAACATGTATTGCAAATTAATATAAGCACTTCCTAACTTCCTACCTCTTGATTATATCAACTTAGAATTTATCACAAGTTCAATAAATTCGATCTCTCCTTTCTTTGTCATTGGACTAAACAAGCTCTTAACCCAATTCCTGTCTATCTAACAACCTAGAATAAACTCTCTAGATTTAATTCAATCAAAGCATTAAGAAGCAAGAAACAATTGAAAGTTTTATCACTTTACCAAGTTGTTAAAACTTAAGCGGAATGGGTTAACTAGTTCATTTGTGCTTTATGTGTTGGCTTAATGTAATCAACATAAAGAAATCATCCATGGCAAAATATAAAGAACACAACACATTTTTACATGGTTTGACAACTTGCCTACGTCCATGGGACCAAGTCCAAAAGAAGCTAATCCACTATGATAAACTTTTGTGTTCAAATACAAAGCTAAAGATAAGCACAAGTACTTGCAAAACACACCCTGTTTATGACAACACTTCAATCTTCACTCTTTGGTTGAATCTCTAGCCATCACAGCAAGCTTCACACCTGAGACCACCTAGTCGGCCTTGAGCTCCTCTCAAGGTTCACCACCAAAGTCGAACTTCACCTCCAGCCGCTTAAACCACTCCAAGCAAGCAACAATGGAACCACGTTCCACAACCAAGCTCAAACAAGCAAGAGCTAAACAAGGTATTTCAAGCCTACCAAAGCATAAAGAAACCCGAATGAAAACAAATGAAACCTCAAGGAATATGCAGAGTATTATTAGAGGTATATTTAGGCTTGAAATGAAATGCATTGGAGAAGATGAATAAAAAGAAAATTGCTCACAAATGCAAGGGGAGCCAGCCAAAAAGCACTTTACATGTTTAGTCATTTTGGGAAAGTTTTCACCAAACTTTCTAAGAACCACTATAACGCAAAACGAATTTTTGGGTACGCCTAATGAGCTAATTATACATGTACATGGATCACTTACACATGTCTCGGATAAGAATAAAATCCTAGCATCAAATGGAGACGCAACATGTGTTCATAGAATTTGGTTGGACTAGTGTCATCACATGGACTCTGATGTGCCCACACGTCATGCGTGAAAACAGACTTAACTGAGTGTGGTCACATCGACATAAAGAGTTATGACACCAGGATAAAAACAGAAATGATTGTGTGAAAACAATATGAAGGCCCCACATCAAAATTAGTGTTACCACACTAAACTCATAAGTTGATCACAAAAATACTTACAATCCCCTCCTTTGTCAAACTTATGGACAAAACACAATCCTTTTAAAAACATTTCCTAGATTCAGTCTTTTGCCTATTATTCCACTTACCCTTTTTCTTGTTTCTGGACCCCTAACTAAATTGGTTTCCCTTAGCATGTTGAATAAGTTTTGGTTTGCCCTTAACAAACAGGTTGCTTCCATTTCGCTTTTGCACTTTCAATTCTAGTTCCCTAGCTTTAAGTCCTGCAACTATTAAGTCAACACTAGGAATAGTACCAGAGTACTGGAGTGCATTCTTGACTACCTGGTAGTCATCAGTTATGGAATTCAACAATATCATAGCCAAACTAGTCTCCCTTAATTCTTGATCGGTTCCTTTTAAAATAAGTGTCATTTTTAGGAATTCATCTAGGTTTTCCTCTATAGTCTTATTGCTATCCATCTTATACGAAAATAAAGCACCTTTAAGGAAAGCTAAATTTGGATTAGACTGAAGGGCATGTAGAGATTCAAGCTTACCCCACAACCCCAGAGGGGTTTCGATTCCATCAACCTTCCTCAGTATGCTGTCTGATAGGTTCATCACAATCAAGTTGTAAGCTTCTTCTTCAATTTCCTCCTTTTTCCTCAGTTTCTCTTTGGCCACTTCTTGGGATCCTTCTTCAGTGCAAGGCCAACTTTGTTGTGCGAAAGAAGGGCCTTCATTTTTTTCTTCCAACTCCTGAAGTCGATCTTCCCATCATATTGGGTGATCTCCATTCAGGTGGTGGTGTTTGTCATGATTTGGTATTAGTTTTGGTGTTTAGGAAACGACAAACTCAAGAACTCAGGACTGAATTTGAATCTTTAAGTATCGACCCAAAGAAAACCCTAATTCTTTCTACCCTTGGTCTAATTGGAACTAATTTACTCGGATATAGGCTCTAAGACTCTTAGTTAGATCAAGAAACCCTAAATTTGAGAAAACCCCCAAATTTTGAAACCCTAATTTTTTTGATCTAAAAATCAAGAATCCAAACACCCGAAGACTTATTGGCTAAAAGGCTCTAATACCACTGTTATGTTGTAAACCGAAATCAACCAAGAACCACAATACACATAATCAAAGAAAGACAAACACAAACACCACCAACGATTTACCATGGTTCACTTGATCTATTTTGAGCAAGCTACATCCACGTTGAACTCCGGAAAAGGGGAGTTCGCTACACTACTAGTATTAAGGAATCAAACAATTACAGGCCTAATCTCGAATACGCTCAAACCACACTCTCACACCTCTGAAATCTAACCCTGGGAGCACTCTAACCCACGAAATCCCTAGAATAAGAACAGTCTTACTTTTCCTCAAATGATTAAGCCAAACCACTCAAGAATCACCCAGATTACACAAGAAATCAGATACCCAAAACATAAACCCTAACTATGAACTTTTACACAGAGAATGCAATGCTTTCGAATTGAGGAAGCTTAGGGTGTAACTGAAATTTTCTGCCCTTTTATAGTGTTGACTTGTAGAGTAATCTCAATCATCAGATTGGAGTTGGATCAATGGTCATGATCCAACTCAAGACTGTCCAGAATGACACCGTTCCACTAATCTCCAATACATCATCGTTTTGAGCACTCACTGCAACAATATGGTTGTATAAAAAAAAACATATTTTAAAAAAATAAATTAATTTTATCATATTATATGCATGCAAGTTATTATATATGTATTAACAATCCAATATTATCAACAGAGCTGGAATTTTGTCTTAGTGAGGGCAAGCAAAGAAATATCAAATATTATCATCCCTGAAAACTTGATTTCTTTTGACTAATGGGTTGGTCTGACGGTCAATGAGGTTTGCTTCTTTTTTTTAGGTTTAGGCTCAAACCCTAGGGTCATCTATCACAATAATATTGTAGCTTATCTAGCACTTTGGGCTTGTAGAGTGTTCAATAGACCTTGAGAATTAGTTGAGGACCGCGCAAGTTGGCCCGGACTCCCCGGTTACCCAAAAAAAAAAAAAAAA